TCATGACCAAAAGATAGATCTAGGCTCCTACAATCATTCTAGCACGTAAAGTTACAAACTTTACGTGCATGCATGGGACTTTGAGTCCAAAAGGTCCTAAAACAAGCTCTTGGGTTGCATGGAGTCTTCCTTGGGTCGAAAAGCACCCACTTTCTGCCTTGTGACCCCTCAAAGGACCTAGATCCGAAGCCTTGTCCCCAACCATTCTTGCATTCATGGTTGGCTACCGAAAATGGCTTATAAAAACCCTAAATCTCCACAAAATGGGATCTAGCAAATGAACAAGCAAGTTAGCAACTTTATACCTTCTGAGGACTGAAAATGAAGCACAAACTCGAACCCCTCTGGTCTCCTCTTGTTTCCTCAAGCTCTTCTCCTTCCTTCTTAAGACCACCAACACCAAAATCCACCAAAATGACTTAGATTGCTTCAACAACGGCTAGGGTTTTCTATAGAGGGTTTCTGGGAGCATAAAGGGACGATGGAGGCTGTATAAGGTTGTTTAAATAGGGTGCAAACCCTCAGTTTAGGGTTTTGTCCAGACAGAGTCTACTCGTCGAGTCCGGGACTCGAATCGACGAGTCCATCACTTAAATCCCGCGTCTCATCCCGCTTCTACTCGGCGAGTTGGGCCTTCAACTCGCCGAGTCCCAGGCCAAAAATGCAAAATTACTAAAATAAAATACATACCAGGAAGCGGGTGCTACATGATCCCTTTCCCTAGTGCTCCTTTGAAATAATGTAAAATCCGATATGTTGCTCGCAAATGGGTTTCCTTTGGATTATGCATAAACTGACTGACCATGCTTACAACATAAGCTATGTCAGGTCTGGTATGAGACAAATATATAAGTTTCCCCATAATTCGTTGATACATTTCTTTGTTTACACTTAAATCTTTTTATGCATTTCCCAGTTTATGATTTGGGTCTATAGGAGTACTAGTTGGTTTGCATGCACCTTGACCTGTTTCCATGAGTAAGTCTATAGTATACTTCTGTTGGGATGTAAAAATTCCCTTTCTTGAATGGGCAACTTCAATTCCAAGGAAATACTTCAGTCTTCCTAATGTCTTGATCTCAAATTCTTTGTCTAGACAATGACATAAGACTTGTTGCTCTATTTCATCATCTCCTGTTACGATGTTATCATACATATAAACCGGTAGGGTTGTTATCTTTCCTATTTTTGAGTGCTTCATGTAACACCCCGCTATTTTCTTCTTGTAAATCATTCAATTCAATCGAAGTCAGACTAGTTTCTGCTATCTTTTAGCACTGTTAAGGGTCTGTTTGAGAGTTTCCGAGCCTAGTGTAATGTAAGTATGGATGCTAGGATGAGTTAGCTTGAGATCGGGAGGATTAATTCGAACCAGAAAACCACTCACAAGGTGTTCACAGCCGCAATCTAGGTTCACGGCCATGAACCACCTCCTATATATATAAGAGTGACCTCTTTTTCTCCTCACTTCTCCTCCTCTCAACCGTGAACAACCCCATTCTCTCTCAAAAAGCTTTGACCGTGAACACTCCAAAGCTCCAAAAACGTAAGTGTTTCAACCTTAAACTTGTTATACTTGAAAGGTTACTAGATCCTAGTCTTGATTCTTAATGATTCATCACCACCTTCATGAACTTGAAGGGATCACGGCCGTGAACCCTTCATAAGGGTCGTGAACCCTTCATAGATTCATTGGGCCGTGAACACCTCATGAGGCCGTGAACCTCATGAGGCCGTGAACCTCATGAGGTCGTGAACTCTATAAGGCCGCAAACCCATCCTTGGGTGGCCGTGAAACCCCTTCCAAGCTTCCATTTGTGAGCCTAACACTTCATTTAGGGTGTTTCCTACAATCTTAGGTGGTTTCCTATACTAGTTAAGAGTTGTAACCACTAATTGAATACACATATATGTGAACATATGCCTTATAGGATCCAACTGTGCTTCAAAAATTCAATTGTGAACTCAAGCATCCTATATCTATCTTACCTTCCAGATCACTCACAATAAGGTGAGTTCATACCCCTTTAATCTACCTTTTAATTGTTTTAAATGCTTTTAAGGGAAGGAATACAAGTTGAACACAATCTAAATTGTGTTAATAATTGTATGTGATATCAATCACACAAAGGATTTCCTTATGCTTTTAAGGATTACCAAATACTTCCAAAATGACTTAAAGTCATGCTAAATTTTTTAAGTCATGTAAACTCTTTTTGAAATACTGTTAAAACTCTTTAATACTGTTAAACACTTGGAAAAGGTTGTATAAACTACTTCATATTATAATTGTTAAAATCATGTTCATATATTTATAAATATATAAATAAGACTTAAAGGGCTTAGGACTAATGAGTTGCCTTATCTCCTTTTCCTTGTTTGGATGTGGTTTAAGGTGAGGTTATTTGTCCGAAGGTCGTTTCCTTCTTAATTATATATATTATACATATGGGAATATAAAAGGTTACTTCAGTCGGTATCATTACCTTTGTATCATGTTGAGCAAAGGGATACATTCAGGAGAGATCATGCTAATCAGATAGAACGTATAAATTATAATAGGTATAATTATGAAACAAATGAGAAATCTATTTTTCTAGATAACGTATACGAGGTCTAAACTACTTTATCAAGAAAAAGATATAATTCGATCTTTACTCAAAGTAAAATGTGATGGTACGTATTCAAGACATAACAATACTTGCTATGTTACATTCTTGTAACCAGAGTCTCGTGGAGGGAGAGCGTGCATTGTGTGTATAGATCTATACGAGACCGACAATCCCACATCCCGACTGCTAGCTACAGTCCGGCAGACCAGCCATGGGGTGACAAATGTTACATATTCAGTTTCGACACCAGTAGGTCGTCGTGTTCATTCTAGTCCAACATGGTTACAACTTTATCACATTTTAAAACCCTAATTAACCAGGTTAATATTAGGGTAGTTATTCACCAGTAGTTTATTCTTTTTAAGAAATACTAATGTAGTAATCATTTTCCATAATCAAAACGGAACAGTTTTGTGGGGATTTAAAACTACTTATCAGAACGGTTTTATGGGGATTTAAAACTACTTATCAGAACAGTTTTATGGGGATTTAAAACCACTTTTCACCAACAAGAAGGAAGACATCCTTCTTATAATTTTATGGATAGTTAAAATTATGTTAAACTTTATTATAAGTACAGTAACACTTAAATAGAACGGTTTTATGGGATTAAAACTACTTATCAGTTGTAAAGCAGAAAATATAGGATTTTCTGGAACGTAATCAGCCACTTTCTCAAAACTGGTATAACATAAAGAACTTTTAATGGTAAATTCTATAATTCTTTAGTTTATACAATAGAGTTATATATAAGTAATATCCGATTGGCAGTGGAATGTGTGACTTCCACCTTACTTACTGTTCCTTGTTTGGTTGTGGGCTTAGGGCAGATTCACACATTCAACTATCCATTCGATATTAGGTTATATATAACTAGTATAAACTAAGCAATTGCAGAGGGAACTATTGTGGTTATCATTTTATCACATCAGAAAATATAGGATTTTCTGGAGGAACTGACGAACTTTTCAAGAACTTAAAGTATACTTTATATAACTAAAATACTTATGAACTCACCAGCTTAAATGTTGATCTACTCTTTCAAAATAACTTGTATTCTCAGGAATCCAATAGACAGGTACACTTTCGGAGCTTTTGAGAAGACAGCCTAGTACCGTGTTGCGTCTTTTGTCTTCTATCGTATCTACTTTGTTGTGTGAATATGTAATGTTTAAACACTTATGTAAAACTTATACTTATTAATGCAATGGTTGTTTGTACTTTGATTACTATAATGCATGTGTTGTGATACTTACATGACGTCCTCCGCCCCCGAACGTTTCTGCCGTTCTGGTTTGGGGGGTGTGACACTTCACGAACAAAGTGTGATCCCCTTGACTTTGTTTATATCCCAAAACTAACATAGTTCTAGAAAATTTCCCAAACCATGCTCGGGGAGATTGTTTTAAACCGTATAGTGCCTTTTTCAATTTACACACCGTATTGGGATTTGTTCCTTTTTCTATAACCAGAAGGAACATACATGCATGTAGATCTCCTCTTCAAGTTCTTCATGCAAAAATGCGTTTTTTACATCAAATTGATGCAACTCCCAACCAAGATTAGTAGCTAAGGATAGAATTACCTTAATTGTATTCATTTTCATAACTGGTGCGAATGTCTCAGAATAATCAATGCCAAAAGTCTGTCTATATCCCTTAGCTACCAATCTCGCTTTATACCTTTCAATTGACCCATCCGCCTTGTATTTACTATATAGACCCATTTGCATCCTATAGTTTTTTTTTCCTTCGGGCAATTTAACCAACTCCCAAGTTTTATTCTTTTCTAGTGCTTGCATTTCCACATTCATGGCTTGCTTCCATTTTTCATTAGATAATGCCTCAGTCAAACTAGTAGGAATGGTAATGGGGTTAGATTGACAAGAAATGCTTTGTATGTAGGAGAGAACTTTTGGAAAAGGGTGTAGTGTGATAAGGGATACAATGGTCTTTTTGTGCATTATCTTGCTCCTTTTCTAAAGGCAATGGGCAAATTTTGATCACTTGTTTGAGATTCAGTTTCACTTTGTAAGGGTATAGAATCAGAGACTATTACCCCCATTTAAAGGATCAAAAGGACTAGTATCAAACACTTGGACTTGCTCAGGTCTAGGAATGTTCTTCTTTTGTCTCGAGTATAACAGGTTCTTTCTAAACCGTGTGGATTCAGGCTCTGGAATAATTTCACGAACTGGAACCGTTGAGACTATTTTTGGACTAGAGATAGAATCATGGGTAGGAGTATTTGAGGGGTTAGGTTGGGATGATGTAGGAATAGATGTGGATTGAGACTATGATGTAACTGTTTCTGTTTCTGGATCATATCAGGTTCAAAGATATGATTGGAGTAAGATTGGGATGATGCAGGCAAAGATGTAGATAAGTCATGGAAAAGATCTTCCAAGCTTCCATTATCTTCCTTACAATTCTCCCCCTGAAGATAAGGTTAGGTGAAGTAGGGATTGTTTTCGCTAAAGGTTACATGTTTTGAAACAAAGAACCTTCTAGATGGGGGGTGGTAGCTTTTGTACCCTTTCTGGGTTGAGGAATATATAAAAAAAACAACACTTTAGAGATCGAGGATCAAGTTTGTTTCCGTCTTGTCTTGGCTATGGATGTGAACAAATGAGATACAGATGTGTGGAACAAGATTTTTGGAAGTGGACACATTCAGGTAGAAGGAAGAAAGTACATCCATCGGACTTTTGAATCCAAGAACTCGGGTAGGAAGTCTATTTATAAGGTAAGTTGTTGTGAGCACAGCTTCTCCCCCAAGATATTTTGAAACGTTATTTTGGAATAATAATGCTCTGGTTTGATCTAATAAATGCTCATTTTTCCTCTCTGACACTCCGTTCTGTTGAGGCGTTTTAACACATGAAGATTATTGAATTATTCCCTCCATTTGAAAATAAGAGGCGAGAGTTTGATTAAAATAATCTCCTCGAGCCTTATCAGATCTTATCCTTTGAACTTTGACTCCAAATTGGTTTTTTATCATTGAAATGAAATTAGGGAGAATAGTGCTAACATCTGATCTATGTTTTAACAGAAACACCCAAGTATCCCGTGTACAATCATCAATGAATGTCACAAACCATCGTGCACCCGACACATTGGAAATATTAGATGGACCACATATATCAGTGTGAATAAGATAAAAAGGAGAATTACTTTTTTTTTATTACTGATAGAAAAAGGGTTACGCTTGTGTTTAGCAAGCTCACATACCTCACAATGAAGGCTTTCAACATTAATTGTTTTAAACAGAGAAGGAAAAAGAACTTTAATAATCCTAAATGAGGGATGACCTAAACGACAATGATGAAGTATGATTTTTTCTTTATTGGAGATAGCAAATTCTGATATGAGTGAACGAGAATCTGTTATGAGTGAGTGAGATGATCTGGGTGTTTTTGGCAACTCAAGATGATATAGATCATCCTTTTCCTTAACAAGTCCAATCATCTTCCCTAAATCCTTTTCCTGAAGTACACAATATTTATCGGAAAATATCACATAACAATGTAAATCTCATGCTAGTTTTTTTACAGAGATCATATTAGTGGACAATTTTGTGACGTGAAGGACGCTTTTTAAAGGAATGGATGGGCTGATTTGGAAATCTCCTTTACCGGCTACAGTGGTTCGAGTTCCATCAACAGTTGCAATTTTCTTGTTACTTGGACAAGGTGAGTATGTGGTGTAATGGACAAGGTGTGTATGTGGAGAAGTGTTTGGAAGAGTGAGTCATATGGTCGGTGGTTCCCGAATCAATGACCCAAGAGTATTTTAGGTTTGAATCTGAGACATTAAATCCAAATGAAAGTGGTTGTTTACCCACTACAAGGTTTTTCGAGAGAGTTGAAAAATGATCTGAGCTCTTGTTTGACTTCTCCTGGGGTTGGGTCAACTACAATATGAGCTTGTCCTTTGTCTCTAATTGTTGGACTTTTCTGGCCCCATTCATGACTTGAAGGTTTGCCAAGTAACTTCCAACATTTATCCTTTGTGTGACGTGCCTTTTTGCAATGAGTGCACCATAGCCCATCTCAATTTTGAGTTATGAATTGATCATTTTTCCCAGATCCAGACTCATAGTTGGTTCTATTTTCCCTTCCTACCTTGACATGTTCTGCTCCCATTGTCGAGCCATTCATTGGAAGGGTCTCAAGCATTAAAGTTCTCCTGCTCTTCACTTCTAACAATGGCCGAGCAAGGAACTTCAGGCTTTCCAGGGATTTGAATCCTTACTTGATCAAAATCAGAGTTTAAACCTACAAGAAAATCATACTCTGTCATGTTCAGTGAAGTCCTTGAGTATTACAACGCATCTTCTGAGCAATTGGTCTTGATTACCCTATAATGATCAAGTTCTTGCCACAAAGATTTTAGTTGATTGGCATACTCGGTTACTGTTTTACTTCCTTGTTTCGCTGCCATAGTCTTGACTTTCACTTCATAAATGTGGGCTGCATCTCTGGCTTTAGAGTAAATTTGTTGAATTGCATCCCATATATCCTTGGCGTTAGCCATGAACATCATTGTATCGCTTATCTCAGGGACCATAACCACGCCATGATCATGGAATCTTCTTCATCCCATGCTTCAAACTTGGGGTCTTCTCACTTTGGTCCTGTCCCAATGAGCAATGAAATGGCTGATTTTTTCCTTCCTTTTTAGGATGGTTCGAATCAGTTGGGACCATTTGAGATAGTTTTTTTCCATCAATTCGGTATGATGCATGGATGTGCTGTAAATCTCTTGGTTAAGAAACATGGGTTGTAGATTGAGCCTCTGTCATTCTTTTGTTACTAGGTTATAAATTGTTGGTGATAAAGGCCAAATGATCAAAGAGAAGAGGCAATGAAGGCCCAAAAAAAAGGAACGAAGGCTAAAGAGGTTTCCCAAGCTTTGGTAGCTCTGATACCATAACAGATTTAGGGTTTTTCTGTACGTATTGATTGAGAAGTGTACATAATAAATACACAAGGCAAATCAAGAAAAGGAAACTATTCTATGGAATCCCTTGATATTAGGGATTACCTACAATTAAGATTATAATTAGCTACCATCTTTCCTACAATAAATACAAAATAATTTACATTTTCCCACAATTATAATATTTAAGCATCTTATACTTTCTTTGCTTATTGATCACCTCATCGAGTTCAGGGAGAGCAAGGAACAAACATGAACGAAAACAAAGAGTCGATTTTGATATGAGTTAATAGGATGGATGCTCAAGATGTTTTTCTTCTTGACTTTTTTGCCCTTATCATCTTCTCAATCTCCTTCATCTTAAATCATAAACAACAAACCAAATTCAATCAAAACCATTAATTTAAAACAAAATCAAGATCGTTGGACCCTGTATGATGTATTTTGTTGACTTACTCCTTCATCTTAAATCACCAATTCATAGAACGACTTAAAACAATGACCTGTCAGTCCTTACCCTAAAAAACAAAATAAAATACTTGATTAAAAAACCACATTTTAAATAAGTTTAAATGTATGGTCATTTTCATACCACATCTTTTTCTCGATCAAACCCTTTTTTTCTTAATTGTTTTAAACCTTTTAGCCTGTTCAGGGGAAATACTCTGCAACATGAAATTGCAATAAATATAATATGTGGGTGATAGAAGTTGGAGGGCAAAATAGTCATTTACCTGCCATTGGTTTTTGATAGTCATGTACTCTGATGTTGTAACTGAGACAGCATACTGCCTCTCTTCGTATGTTGAATCGTATGAATTAGATATCCCACGAAGAAAATGCCCAAACCTGGAATTACATGTCATTAACAGATTTAGTTAAAATTAGCCAAAAGGGTGAATGTGTAAAATGTACCAAAATATAAAAACCTATTTTAAAGCATTTGATCCATGACTCTGCTTTCATAATCCAAAAAGCTTGAACACTGTAGAACAGAAATAACATTTACTTAATTTATTTTTCTATTAATTTTTATTTTATGAGCATACAAAAGGGCAACTTTCTTATTCTTTCACCAATATAGGCAATGTACTATTTTACCCCATAATAGCAACATACTTGCATTTCTTTACCAATAGAAGCAATGTACTTTATTCTTTATCCATAATAACAACATACTTACACTTTTTATCCGTAATAGCAACATACTTCTATTATTACCCATAATAAGAATGTTCTTATATTTTCATTTCCCTACTAAAATGAGCAAAATGTACTTTATTTGTTACATATTGCTATTATTGGTAAAGAGATCCAAGTATGTTTCCATAATGAGTAAGGAATTGGCATATTGCTATTATTTGTTACAATGCTTTTATCTTGAAAGTTATTCACAACAAATACACTCACGTCTTCTGATGAACAGAAACAAAAGAAAAGGGTGATGGTTGTTACTCCCCTAAAAAGCACCAATTCATATGGAAAATTAATCAGCAATCAAATGGCAGAAATGTGTTCTTAATAATGCTAGTTTTGTTCAAGATAGTATGTCTGTTTTCACTAAAATGGGATTTTTAGGGTAGTTTTTATCTTATCTGGTTATTGCTGGGAATTTGGCTTTCTAGAAATGCATATATTCATGATTCAGTTATGTCTTCTTCATCTATTATCAATAAAATGAAGCACTTGTGTAAGGATGTATTGCATTGCAGCTTGATTATCTCACTCATTCTTCTGGTTTTCATGATTCTATTTTTTTTAAAGTAATGCATATCCCTATGATTCCTAAAGGAAAATGGATCAAAATGTGGTGAAAGATTAAAAACTCAAATCAAAGAAACTCGTGTTATTGGAGATAGATATTTAAGTCTGTTATTATGATAACAAGACAGACTTAGGTAGTGTTTGTTTTTTGTCTGCAGATCTGCGTGGCCTCTTCTGTCTGCGCCGCGCAGACCACGCGCAGACATTAGCCTTCGCAGACTGTTTGTTTTTTTGAAGACTGCAGACCTAAAAATGTCTGCGCGCCCTCTTCTTGGCGCAGATGTGGACCAGAGTCTTCTAACATCTTCAGACATCTTCTAGCCTAAAAAAACATATATATCTTTATTTTTTTAATTTATATTTTTTCCAACTTTATTAATGATAAACAATTTGAAAAAAAAAATTACAAAACATAAAAAAAAACGTTCGACGATACAAACATGATATTTTTGACAAATTTATAAATAAAAATTTATTACAATATAATAGTCGTTGAAGTTGTTTATATAAATATGAAAAAAAATCATAATATATTCTTATATTTTTTTGCCAAATTTTGTAAAACATTATTAATACAGTATCGTCAATTTCTCAAGAAAATATTTATGGTACGTTTTTAATGGATATAATTGAAAAAATCAAAGTTTATTTCCATCTATTTATGTATCAAATTCTTCGATCACTAATTGTAATGTTTAGTTATAACTTTGCAACCAAACTTGTTGGTTTTTATCAAATATATACGTTAATTCATACCATTTTTATTTTTATTTTTTATACAATAATACATAAAAGTTGATCTAGATTCGTTAATTATTTATAACAAAGTCATAAAAATATTAAAAAATCACTTTGAAGTTTAAAAAAATCAGTTTATTTAGATTTCAGTTTATTTTAGTAGCCCGCAGATGTTAAAAAACAAACAGTCTTCTTTTTTCAGACTGCAGACGTTTGGTCCGTCTCTTCTACTGCAGAGGTCTACAGATGTGGTCCGCAGACTGCAGACATTTTGCCTCAGAAAAAACAAACAGCACCTTAGTGAAACGTTAGTAGACATAATTATAATAATATTAGACTAGAGGGTATTAATATGTAATTGTTAGTATTATATATAGATGATCTATCAATACATTATAAAAATTCTCGGCTCTTTAAACGTTCAGCAAAATCAAACACAATAATAAGTTTAGAAAATGACACAACCTTTAACCCCAGTTGTTGATGGAAGAGGTGGCATTAGCTCATCTAGCCCTTCAACCACCTATATATATATATATATATATATATATATATATATATTATCAGTCAATATGAGTGTTTGAAGGTTGTAGCATTATTTCAGTAAAGAATCTTATTATTGCAATTGATAAGATATGAAACAAATGATTAACCATCATACCACTATTAGAAGGAATCTTTGACAAAAAGCTCAGCAACTGAAATGTCATCAGAGTGATTAGCAACAAATCAGAAATTTAACCATTTAAAAGTATTAACTTGGGAAAATGAGTGACTCTTACAATATGCAATGTCTGTGGCACACAAAATATGCCACTAATCAGTAACTATGGTGATGAAATGTAGAGCAAAAGAAGACGAGACGTTTACATTAAGAATGTGTATATGAATATGAAATCTAGAGCTGATGAAAAAACAAACATGAAAAAAATGTACATTGATTTAGGCAATTGTCTCTCGATTTGATGATTGAACATACTGATATCAAATCCTAACCTTCATCTGTTTCTTCAAAACAAATAACACCATGTGTGAAACATATCAACTACTCATGTCTTATTTGAAAATGTTTTCCTATTAAATTAATTTCATTCAGAGTTTTTGCAAACCTCAAATAAGTACCAAAATTGAAAAAAAAAATACAGCTTGATCAAAAATCTAATAGTACTCTAAAAAGATTGATAAATCATTCATATATATTGTTAGTTAATCATTGTTACAGAATCATTGACATTCGATAATGAAAACTATCTATTAAGTAAAACAAAATCATCTATTAAAGTATTAA